GTAGTGGATATACCAGTGCCTGGGCACCAAAAGACACCATGTTTTTTTTTTTTTTGGTTTTTTTTTGATGAATATTTGTTGGATGTGTTTCAGATCATCTTTTATCCAACTTTGTGTAAACACTTGCAATTGTCAAGAATCCAACATCATGTAACAATATGGTTAGAGATGGTTTGCCTTTATATTGTGAACAGAAGGAAAGGCAACTTTCCAGATGGTTTCTTTCTGTATTGTTTAATTCATGCAGTCTCATCTATTCAGCTTCTTTACCTAATGGATTTCTTCCAATGGTCCAATATTATTGGAATGGTAACATCAAACTTCGCGGCTAACTCACCCATAGGTTGAGATGGATTCTCTTCCACTACACTTTCAGCTCATCATTATCCACCTTGGTCTCAGGTCGCCCATGTGGCTCACATTCAGATTAAAATCACCAGAAGGGACTTCTCAACCTCATCCACATACTGTGCTGCATTAGCCATCCTTCGCACACTCTGTTGATATTTGAGCTGTCTGCATTGCATCGGTTCCACGCGAACTCTTGCTCAAAAATAACAGAATTTTGACTCAGTGTTTCCAAAAAATTGCTTGAAAAAATTGAAAGGTAATCACAGAACTGGTTGAAGACTGAGTGTACCTTCCAATAAATAAACTAGAAGTGTCAAATGAATGTCAGAGATTCAATGTCAAACTTAGCACTTACAGAAGCAGACATTCATATAATAACCTAATAATTTAAGTAACATTCAGGACCATTTGGACTATTTTATGAGTTTGCACATGGATAAAATCTCTAATGTAGATTGCTTAATGCCGAAGATATGTTCTGAGAGATACATTGTTAAGTGATTTGGTGATCTTACAAACTAGATGTTGCTATTGTCCTAGACTACAATCTACAGTATATTCTGTATGAATACTGTAGGCAATGTAACATAAAGTAAATATTGTGACTAATATAGAAACCGTAAATACATGTAAAGTTTTTAAATGTATCCATATATAGGGTGCTAACCATGAATGGAGCTTGTAGGATTGGAAATTGTTCTGGGTGGTGAGTGAGTGGTGAGTGAAAGTAAAAGTTCTAGGACATTACTGTACACTACTCTAGACTTTACAAACACTATATGCTTAAGCTATACTAATTTATGAAATTTTGCTTCTTTCAATAATAAATTAACTTTAGCTACTGTATTTTTTTTGCTTTATAAACATTGCAATTTTTTAAAACTAATTCTTGCAATAACAGCTTAAAACACAAATACGTTGTATAGCTGTACAAAATATTTTCTTTCTTTATGTTTTAAGTTTCCTTATAATATATTTTTACTTTTAAATTGTTAAACGAAGACACAAGCACAAATCTCTTTTATTTGTCTATAAAACAGGGAGCAAATAGCCCATATAAATTGTTAGAAATTATTTTATGATAACATGGAATCCCTATTCTCTAATATTTGCTTCAGGACTTTTATATTGTAATGCAGTACTAATGCCACACTGACTTATTATACAGAGAGATACAGTTTTGGACTTTCCATTATTTTTCTCTCTCCACTTTTCCTCCTTCCTTCCCTTCTTCCCTCCCTCCTGTCCTTCCTTCCTTCTTCTCTTTCTTCCTTCCAATTAAGGTAGTTATTCCTGAGATGGGTTTAATTTGTGGTATCCTCTGTTCCATGATAAAAATTGATGTTTAAAATCCATTAAGCTTTCCTAAATTCTGCATCAATGTTAATTGCTTTTATAACAGTACTGTACTGTTATTATTGCTGCCATTTGGTAGAGAATAAAATTCAGAAAGCATTAACTCAGCAGATAACAGTCCATAGTTGACAACTTTCAAAGTAGTTCAACTTTTCTATGTCTGAGCAAGTTAGAAAACCAGAGCTTTCATTTTGTAAAAAATGTATCAGATCATTTTTTAAAACATAGGATAACCATCTTATCACAAATGTTTTTGTAATACAAGGTAATATATGTAATATAATGTAACGCCAAGTTTCTTGGCAGAAAACTTGAGTCTAAGTGGAAGCTCACTCAAGTGGAATTCAAATGTGCATATTCCAATGCATTGAAGCAATTTCTGCTTCACTATATCTGAAAAAATCACTGTATCTCTATTTGCTACAAGTAACCCTTATGCTATATGCATAATGTTACTGCTATAAAATTATACAATATGCAATATTTTATTTATTTATATTGCATATATTATTTTATATTATTTATTTATATTGCATATATTATTTTATTCATAATAACACATTAAGATCCTCTATGCTAATCACTTTTCAACTAAGATGTCACATTGCCCAGTGGTCACTGTTCTAAAACCCACAATATAAGACTATGTAGTTGTTTTAACATATAAGCAGGAAAAAAAAAAAAAGAGGTATAGATCAGCATGGTGATTTTCATCTACAGTCTCTTAGTGTTTATGTGTAAAATATTTCACAAAGAATGGATGGTTGTATATTTATATGCACCCTCAGTTTTCTGCTCATATTCTTTTCTAACCATGCTTGTAATTGGTACTGTGACTGTGTCTGAATTTAATATTTTCTAATGACTGTAATGGCATCAAATCTATTCTGACTTGAGCACTGGTTCCGTGTATGTGCTGAAGCCACTACATATAAGAGTAAAATTGGGAATGAAAAAGATATCTATGATTTCCGTAAAGGAATTTATTGAGTATCTGATAGTTTCAAAAGTTAGAGGAATTCCTGGAAGCATCAAGATAGTTGGGGAAGAATGACGTGCTTTAGCATAAATTTATATTATTGTTCTTATTGTGGTTGAATATGAATCTGAAATATTTTTTTTCAGAATAGAGAAGTACAATTATTAAAACTGTGTCTACCAAACATTTTACGTAGATGATTATTTAATCTTGGTCCCCAAGAGTAATTTAACCTAAATACAAGTTATAGTATTTATTTGAAAAAAAATCCTGGGGATAAATTTCATTAAATGAGACATCTTCTTAGTTTAATTTGGGCATTAAATATGAAATTTCCGATTTTAAATCAAAAGAGTGGTTTATTATGCTTCAAACAAGGAGTATAATTAATCAAAGTAGGTGTCTAAACTACTGACATAGTTTAGCCATCTTAATGGTAGTTTGTTCATGTCAGCAGCAAAGAAGCCTGAAGAGCAAGTGGAGATGAAATTATGAAAGGCATTTTTCACAGCGAGTTGAGAATTGAATATGTTTCCTTGCAAGAAGTGGTGCAAAGTCTGGAAGAGGCGGTAGTCAGGTGGTGCAAGGTCTGGTGAATTTGGTGGACTGCAGAGAGTTTCCACGCCCAGCCTCTGTAGTTTGAGCAGCATTGTTTGTGCAATATGTGGTCAAAAGCGTTGTCTTACAAGAAAATTGGCCTGTCTCTGTTGACCAATCTCGGCTGCTTAATCATAAGCATCTTCATCATTTTGTCCAACTGGTTGCAGTAGACATCTGCTGTAATTAAATAACCAGGTTTCTAGAAGCTGTAGTGGATAATACCAGTGCTGGGCCACCAAACAGACACCATTTGTTTTTTTTGTTTGTTTTTTTTTGATGAATATTTGGTTTTGGATTGTGTTTCAGCACATCATCTTTATCCAACTATTGTGCTAAACACTTGCAATTGTCAAAAAGAATCCAACATCACATGTAACAATATGGTATAGAGATTGTTTGCCTTTATATTGTGAACAGAAAGGAAAGGCAACTTTCCAGATGGTTTCTCTTCTGATGCTTGTTTAATTCATGCAGTCCCCATCTATTCAGCTTCTTTACCTAATGGATTTGTTCCAAATGGTCCAATATTATTGGAATGGTAACATCAAACTTTGCGGCTAACTCACCCATAGGTTGAGATGGATTCTCTTCCACTACAACTTTCAGCTCATCATTATCCACCTTGGTCTCAGGTCGCCCATGTGGCTCACATTCAAGATTAAAATCACCAGAAGGGACTTCTCAAACCATCCATCCACATACTGTGCATGCATTAGCCACATCCTTCGCAAACACTCTGTTGATATTTTGAGCTGTCTGCACTGCATCGGTTCCACGCCGAACTCTTGCTCAAAATTAACAAGAATTTTTGACTTAGTGTTTCCAAAAAAGTTGCTTGAAAAAAAATTGAAAGGTAATCACAAGCCAACACTTGTGTTTGAAAGACTGAGGATGTACCTTCACAATAAAAATAAAACTAGAAGTGTCAAAATGAAATGTCAGAGATATTAACTGTCAAACTTAGCACTTAAGGAAAGTAGACATTTCATACTTAATAACCTAATAATTTAAGTATAACATTCAAGGGACCATTTGACTATTATTTTATGAGTTTGCACATGGATAAAAATCTCTAATGTAGATTGCTTAATGCCGAAGATATGTTCTGAGAGATACATTGTTAAGTGATTCGGTGAGTACTTACACAAACCTAGATGTTGCCTATTGCTCCTAGACTATAAACATCTACAGTGTATTTCTGTATTGAATACTGTAGGCAATTGTAACATAAAAGTAAATAATTGTGCATCTAAATATAGAAAACCCACAGTAAAAATACAGTGTAAAAGATTTTTAAAAATTGTTTTCCCTTTTTTGGGTTCTTACCTTTGATTGGGGTTTTTGGGTTTGGAATTTTTTTTGGTTGGTTGGTTGGTGGTTAGTGGTAGTAGTTGTTGTAGGTTATTGTTGTCTACTCTTGTCTTTTTTACCACTATTTTCTTCTTCTGTTCTACTTTTTTTATAAATATTTTTTTTTTTTCTTTAATAATTTATTTTTTTTTGCTGTTTTTTTTTTTTTTTCTTTATACTGCTTTTTTTTTTTTCTAATTCTTTCTTTCACTGCTTGCTTCACGCATACGTTGTTTGTCTGTCTGTACTATTTTTTTTCTTTCTTTTTTTTCTTTTTTTTTTTTTTTATTTTATTTTTTTTTTCTTTTTAATATTTGTTAAAAACGAAGACACAAGCACACACATTAGCCTAGGCCTTCACAAGGTCAGGGTCATCAGTATGGCTGTCTTTGACCTCCACATCTTGTCTCACAGGAAGGTCATCAGGAGCAAGAGGGCACATTGAGCTGTCATCTCCTATGAGAACAATGAGTTCTTTTAGAACACTCCCTGAAGGACCTGACTGAGGATGTTTCACAATTAACTCTTTTTTTTTAAATAAGTAGAAGGAATATACCCTAAAATAATGGTAAAAATATAGCAAGCGCATAAACCAGCAACATAGTCATTTACTATCATCATCAAGTATTATGTATCGTACATAATTGTATTCATTACACTTTGATACAACTGGTAGTGCATTAGGTTTGCTTATACCAGCATTATCACAAACACGCAAGCAATGTATTGTACTATGACATCATGACAGCTATGATGTCACTAGGTGACAGGAATTTTTCAGCTCCATTAGAACTTTATGTCACCACCGTCTTATATGGTGTCTTTCGCTGACTGACACATTTTTACACACAGATGACTGTTATTCGATGTTACAATTTAACTAAGTCTTTCTAAATCTGAATTTTTATATGAAAGGTATGTGGAGCAGGCATCAACACCATTCCAATGAAAGATAAGATAGTAGTAAAGTGCATCGAACACATATACAAAAGTCCTTATTGATGTATTTGTTTCCTGCCATACTCTGTTACTAGATATCTTAAATGGCTTAACACCAGAATCTTAAAGTATCTCTATATGAACTTAATGGAAAGCACTGAAATGTTCAGAAACAAATGAAGCAAAAATAGCACTTATTTCTTTAAGTACTAATTAATTCAATTTGTTGTTCAATGATATGAATTCTAATGGGATACGTATTATTGATGTGTATGTGTGAATACAGGCATGAAGGTTATAAATATTGTTAAGAATTTTGGAAACTCAACAATGAGGTCCCAAAAAGATAAAGAAAAGCAATACTTATTATTAATAAGTAGCAATTATGCTGCCGAAACACTGGAATGAACATCCTGTATTTATTGCTTTTCTGTCCTCTTACTACATTTTGGCAATTAGATGCAGAGGTCATAGGAAGACTCAAAGCACATTTATAGGGGCAATTGTACTGAGAGCAATCCAATTATGTTTAAATGCCTCCGTGATGTTATCATTCTTTATGGAAACCTCTGTAACTCCGGCTTCATTTAGGAGACAGAGCAGATGCTGTTTTCCATCTACTTACTTCCCGTCATCCTACTAAGTCTGGAAAGTAGTCGAGTTAGGACATTATTCAGTACAGACTATGTTGGTACCAATCTCCTTAAGCTAACTTCATTGGCTATACATAGGTGTCCAGGATTAATGTATAAGGAATTGGAAAATAATAAGCTATTTCTGTATTTTTGAATCATCAACATGGGTAATCTATGCCTGTATTGTATAACTTCAGCTCTCCCAGTATTATTTTATGAAGAATACTATTCAGCAAGTGGTATGGCTGGTTAAGTTTTAGTCTAGGCTTTTTTGATCCTTTGTTTTCTGAGTGTCATGTGTTCTAAATTATCAGTCATAAGAAAGTAATTTTATTATCTATAAAAATCATCTTATTCTCTACTATTGAAAAAATTCAGTAGTAGTAAGAGCACATTTTTTTCTTTTACAATGATAAAAATACAATTTAGATATTGCATTTTTCTTGTAATACTTCTCAGATTAAATCATAGGGAAATTTTTGCCTTTATTTTCTGCTGAGACATGACAAAATATAAACCTCCACTAAGGATGAAAAACATCAAAATAGATTATGCTAATTTTTGTCTAATATTATACACTTCAAGTGATTTGTACAATTATAACTCTGCACATATAACTGTCATTTGCAAGCAGTATACTGAATCCACACAATATAGATGAGTGCAATATACAGATACATAGTTTTATTGCCCATGAAATTGTGATGTGAGATTGAAAAATACACCAAGACCCAGTTTCCCAAAATCAGAGTTTTTGATATTCGTTCCCTTTAACTTTTGACTAATGACTTAACACAGATCTTAGATGAACTGAATGGTTTCCATGACTATAGACAACCAAAAGATACATATTCTATAACATGTTGATGATATGACTTTTTTATTGTTGTACAGTAGCTATCAATTGTTGTTAGATGCAATGACTTATGATCGACTACTCTAAAATTCAAACCACTTTTTGGTACATGTTCTCCAATGTCTAATTGGCTTATATCCAACAACTGTATCCAGCATGCTAACATGTTTAGTTACCTCAGGGTACATTTTACAACTAATTTAGCTTTTAATGGTTCACCGGGAAGTCAAATTGCTTTAAATGCAATGTTTTACAGGCCCTGGTAAGTGGTTGACAGTACGTTCTATGAATATGGTCCAGGCTAAAATTATTGAGGCCGTCTAGTATAGTGTAAGTCCTTGAATCCTCAATCATTTATTCGTTTTTATGTTGGAGCAGATGCTGAGTTATTTGCCAAGGAAATACCAGGCCCTGAATACTTTTTTCCTGCTATCCTCATGCAGAGATGAGGTAGCCACTTATTCAGACAAAATTCCTTGTTTCAAAATCTAATTTTCTTAGCAGATATCAACAATCCTTGGCTGATTTCTAAAGCATATGGGCCTGCCTTTAATCAACAAAATGACTATCAAGCCCCTAGAATTTCCACAGACTATAACCTCATAGTCTTTGTTCCTCAATTTTAAGAAAAAAATGAACAAACCAAAAATCGTGGTTGCTATTAATGGTGTTGTTCTTAGAGGATGTGTGGAATCATATATCACCTTGGATGTTGAGAACGGTGCTCTTAGAGCAAGACAGACTCTCTGAGTCTCTGAGAACTGAATTTGGGGCTCAGTGCTTTGACGTCTTGAACAATGGCTTTTACTGAACTGTGCTGACTACAGCATCATGCACTCAGCTTGGACTGAGGAAAGCTGTAGGACCCATTGTATAGAATTTACCTTTATAATCATTGAATGGACTTTTAAAAGATGCTATCCACTATATCACCCAGTGTTCCCCTCCATGAGGCATTAGGGGAAATTCTCTAGAATCTTACTTTTGGAAAACAAGAAAAATGGTTTGCTTTGAGTCTTAAGATTGATTAATATATGTATTTTTGTTTTAGCTTCTGAGAATCTTAGAGCTCAATTATTATCTAGAATGAAAAATACTTTGAAAGTTTTTGTTATTTTATCTGAGTATTAACTTTGACCATTTGTCTATTCAAATTAGCAATGTCACTTGTTTCTTTTATCTTAGGGCTCATTCTTATATAGAGACAGCCTTCTCTTATTTAATGTAGCCAATAAGATGCTAAGAATTGAATACTCACTTGGAATTAGAAATTCTTAAAAATGTCTATTCTGGCTGTTTGCTAACATTATTCTCATTATGCTTCCTGCAATATTATCACTTTGATTTACTTTAATTTTAGTGTGTATTTGGGTCTACTGTCTTTTAAAAAAATTAGGATATAAACATATGAAATTTCATATCCAAACCAAGATTCTTTATTCATTCATTGAATAAAAATATGGCGGACACTTGCTTTGTTCCAGGCACTGTGACTGGGGTTGGGTTGCAAAAGTAAGACACATTCATATCACTGAGGAGTTCACAGTACAGAGGAGTGGACAGACAGGTCAATGAGCATTATCAATAACACGGAGTGAGCTAGACTACAGCAGAGTCAAGGACTGGGTTCTAATGGGTAGAGGAGGGACCTGTAATCCATTCTAACCCCAACAGATTGGATAAAGAAAGCATTTCCTAGAGATGCCCATGTAGCTGAGCCTTGCAACAAGAATTCTAATAATTTGGATAGATTCTGCTACTTCTGGACATCCACTCGTGTTCAAATTAATCATAATTTCTAATTTTATGTTATCCCAAGTACCCCAGGTATGATTATATAGAAAAGACAAAATAAATCAAATCAAAATCATTGATTAGTTCATTTTTTCCTGTAATTTATGCCCCAAAACAGAAAACAGAATAGCACAGAAATCATTTCCAATTTTGGTTCTATTTTGTTATCCAGTATGGACATAGATGACATTGATTATGATCCTTTTCGTACTGGTAATTTATAAGTTGTTACAACTACTATTTTTGGTGAGGCATATTGTGATCATAATATGTCAATCTATTATTACTTGCCAGCTAACATACAATATTTTTTTTCTGAAATTATTTGTTCAGAATTTGTTCTGAAAACCAACATCCTTTGAGTAAAACTATACTTGAGCAGCTTTAGCTAATACTTTTTCAGAGTTGCTTTTTGGGATTAAAAAATAAACAAACTAACTTAATTTTTGTAGATGCAGGCAGAATCCTCAAAAATATAAGGCTGAAGAATTTTGATTTGACTTTATAGCCTGCAGGAAACATTTAGGAATAACTTCTTTTACATGCATACAAAGGTCATTTCTTACATTACTTGAATATTGTAGTATTTTTACATTGGTTAGTTGTAGCCTGCAGGGAAAATAGTGAATAATTTATTGACACATGTACAACTTTATCTCTAAAATATCTTTATTATAATCATGCATTTTATTAATATTAAAAGATCTATAAAGTAAACACAATTATAAAATTATAACCACATTGAATTTTAATTCTGTATTTCTATCTGTATATTATAGTAAGAACAGTCATAAGGCCTTAATACAGTATTACATTTTTGTAATGCTTAATTTATCAATTTATTTTAGTATATATTATCCTACTCTTAAGAAAAAAATAGAGTAGCTTGCAATAAACTCTTAAAAATATGAATTATCCACATTTCACCTAATTCGGTATAGCTTGCAATATTTTGACATGCTACACTTCAAATACATGTAACTTGTATTGATTGCATTTGTGCAATTTCCTCAGTTTAAACTTAACTATAGGTTGTACACCAATTTCTTCTTGGCAGAACATTTTCTTTAACTTACTTTTCTTGTCTGGTATGCCACTTGTTCCTTTTGTAGTTTCTTATTGCTTCTACCTACAATAAATACCATTCTTCGTTTACTCTCATAGAAAATTTCTCAAACTTCCTGTTACTTAAAATATAATTTTATACTTGCCAATAATCAAAGAGGAATGGATACAGTATAGAATTTTTGATTCTGGATCATAAAGCTGCTATAATTGATTGTGATTTTTTGCTATAATCGATGGTGTTTGTCACAATAAAGTTTTCTTTCTGATGGTGCTTCTCAAAGTTCCGTCCCAGGACCTGTAGCATCAGCTTTACCTGAGGAGTAGTTAGGCATGCAGAATCATGGAGTCAGGGGCCAGTAATCTGTGATTTAAGAAGCCCTCCCGGTGATTATAACTCAGGCTAATTCTTGATAACACTGTTTGATGAGATGCTCTCATAGACCACTTTCCTTTTATACGAAGCACTTATCTGAATAAGTGAAGTTGTACATGTTTACTGACTATTGGGCTTCTTCATCACCTGTCCCCAACTAGATTGCCAGCTCCGTTGGAACAGGGACGTCCTCTGTGCTTAATTGTCGTGTGTCCCAGGGTCTTGCACACTGTGTGCCACCCGCTACTCAACAATATTTTTGGTGGATGTCACCATGCTTTGGAACTTGACTCCAAAAGGTCAGGGATTACACATATACACAAATAATTTGCACAAAGAAAATTACGCTAAATACTAAAATACCAAAATCAAAGGTGAGGCAAAAATAGATTTGATCTTCTAGATTATATGCCTTAGACATTTCTTAACATTATTTGTCATCATAATTTATTCAAAAAATCAATACTACTGATGTGGCATTTATCTCAAAGGCATGTTCTTAAATGTTTCCCATAATTAGGTTAGTGTTTATATAGTACAGTTCACTGTACAATATATATTAATATATGTATGTGTATATATATTAATATATTATTAGTATATATATTTAGTATATATATTATTAGTATATATATTAGCATATATAGTGTATATATATTTAATATATTAATATATATTAAAAGTAATATATTAATATATGTAATATATTACTTTTATAATATACCAGATACAAAATGTTTATATACATAAAATAGAGTTTCAAAATGCTTTCCCACTCATTATCTGTTTTGATCAAATAGTGGGGATGATTATTTTTCAAATATAAGTGGTTATTCAGTAAAAAAAAAAAAAGGAAAATAAGGAACTACCAACACAAGAAGTCTATTGTGTGAAAATAATACAATATTTTAAAAATCTTTGCCTTGCCTGAATTATATCCAAAAGGCTAATTTATGTGCTTTATTTTTAACATAGTTGAAAATCCATGTGGCTAACTTTGCAAATACCTTCTCCCTTAGCTCCTGGTCTGCTTTTTTTTTTTTTTTTTTTTTTTTTTTTTTCTGGTCTTTGATGAGAGTATGCCTTAGGCAATTCCATGTATGCATAAGATTAAGATGAATGATCTTACTTCTGTATTTACAGATTTTCCAAATCATTGTCCAAGAATATTCATAATGTGTGTAGGTGACCATTTATCCCTGTCTTTAAAGCTCTTATAGAAAAAGACAATAGTTAACACTATCTAATGTGCAATTATGTATGACTTGCAGCATCAGGTCGGCCCTTAAGATTTACAAAGTTAGGACGAGAGCAGAAATGGAAACCCATATTCCATATGTCTAAGTATTTAAATGTCATATGAAACTCAAAATAACTAAGAGTCACATTTGATCTAATCTTTTACTTTGAAAAAGGCACTTCTCATGATTACCTGGCGGGACAGAGTTTAGTGCCTAAACGTGGCTATTCAGTGCCTCTCCCTTCTCCTCCACCTTTGGCTCAATTTCATGTTGTGGGGCTGAACATGGCAGCCTGGGCTTCCAAATCTGTCCACAGTCTCCACAAACAACTTCCGGGTGGGCAGCACTTGGGCCCGGAAGTACTCGCAACGGTGGTGTAATCCATCCTAGAGAGAACCATACAGGCCTTGAAAAAGACTTGGAGTGATTTGGGAGTAGAATCCCAGGGCAGGAGAAACAGGACCAGGGTCTGGAAGATGAGGCACGGGTTCTGGGTGAACCTGTCCCCACAGGCCCAGGACGCCTCACCTCACACAGGGGGACGCAGCTGGAAGGAGACCAGAGTGTGGCCCTCCCAAGTGCATGGCCAGTCAGCCAGGGTTTCCATGCGACTCGGTCCAAGGGCGGAACTGCGCAGCATGTGTACCAGTGTGAACCTTTGAAGGCAATCCATTCTGCTTGTCTTGGCTCAGTTCAATTAACTTCCTCATGATTTCACTAAATGACTTTCAAATTCTTCCCCAGAGCACTGATGGATTGAGGTGGATTGAGACCTGCCCTCTGATCACTTTTCATATCACTTTTGTCCCTTTTTTTCTTATTATAATGACATTGTTAAGAGAAAGGAGTCATGTTACCAGGATAACAAGAAAAGGGAATGGGCATTGTTGCCTTTACAGAAACTTTAACTCCTCTTGAGTAAATTTCTATTGTAATATTGGAGCCATTCCATTTTGTGTGAGTAGTTTGCAGTTTCTGCTTGTTTCTCTCTTTTTTTGATTGCCACAGCCCCAAGTAACTGTCCTGGTAATTTTTTCTCTTGAATTTACCTGCTATTGAATGTGAGCACTTTTCCGTTTATTTATATTTCCTCATCTATTTATTATGGCGCACTCCACACTATGCGAAATGTTAGCATTGACAGCTGATCGAGTCTTACTGAGTCAGAGGACCTTGTTCTACTGGTAACTTTTCAAATTTGCCTAACGTTAGAGCATCCTAGTAGCCTGTGCTTACTTAGATTATTTCTCCGCCATTTGTTACTGCCTTGGAGAACAGGGTTAGGCTGCCTTGAGGAGATAGTAGGAGTAGAACAGAAAGCCAACATGGATCTTCTCTCAAAGCTGGTTTCTACTTTCATGTAACCTTCTTTGCCTTCTTCTGTAATTAAACTTCTATTTCAAAATAATTCCATTGACAGACAGGGCAAATTTAGCCATCATAAACCACTCACTAAAGGTAGGGGTGAAATCACGTAGGATTTACTAATCTGTATGGCAAACAAGCAGGCCCAAAATGGGGTAGTTGTGCATGCATTTAGTGTTTTCTTCATATCAAGGATTTGTTGCTATTCTTATTTGTCTTTTAGCTGAAGGTTTAAATCGCACAATTTTATTGTGAATAAAAAACACTCACAGTTAAGTATTTTCTTAGCCTATTTCCCCTTGGGATTTAAATCCTCATGCTCTATCAAACTGTGTTCTCTAAAAGTCCTCAGTAATAATACATAAGGACACATTCATGGACTTGCGGTAGCTAAATTGCAAACAGGTGTCTTTTTCAAATCACTCTTATACCCTGGTGCTTTCCAAAAAGGATCATGGTTATTTCCACCTCATTCTAAGGGGAAACAATTTCAAACCTTTGACTAGTAATTTTTCCTTGGTGCTGCAACTTTGCTTGTTTTGTCACTGAATAAAAAGGAAACAGATGCTGAATTTAGAAACTGAATCGCTTAAAGAGACATTGCAAATTGGTGATGATGTTAGTGCAAAACAGAAAACACAATATTACAAAAAAAATACTGGAAAACAGGAAAAAGCTGAGCAGGTAAACAGGGAAGTAAACAAACACATCCTTGGGAAATATGGGTGCAATCAAAATAATATTTAATATATTACCACCCTGTCCATGCCATCTTCTCAATGGGGCTAGTTCTTTACCTGTAGCTGGATGAAAACTTAGGCAGTGCATAGCTCTTCTGCTCACTCTTAGCTAATTCCAGTTGCTATCATCTTAAGTCATGAATCACAGTCTTCTTTTAGTATTATCTATGCCCAGTTCTGTATACTAAAAGCCAAAGTATCCAAATTTGAGCAGAATGACAGTTACTCCTCTTTATTCAGACAGGAGCTGGTATAGGTTGAAAACCTGGATTCCTGTGGTCATGGACTGTGCCAATCAAACTGTCTGCTTTCCGGACTTGGCTAATGCAGAAAACTGACTCTTTCCTGTGGATGGGACACTTTTATGATTTTTGTGAGGATTTCTCTAAACCTGTCTCTCCATTATTGGGTCTCTCCATTTTGAACGATTCACCCTTTTTTTTTTATTATTATAGCTTGTTTGGGTCTGAGTTTGATCAGAGAAGCAAAAATCCTAAGGGGGATACAGAATAACTGATTCATTGTAGGAATCACACAGTTATAGGAGTTGGTAGGGCAGTCTGTTGCTCTGAATCTGTTGATGAGCTTGGAGTCAGTATAGATCAGCCAGACTTGGCAGTGAAAAAGGAAACCTGGACATCAATGAGAGCAGAGACACACTGGACCTAGTATGGACAAACCAGGACCCTTGGGGCAAACTATAAGTCATGTCAGAATCTCCTTACCTCCAACTTTATTGCTATTGGCAACCTGCAGGGGAAAAAAGTGGCATTTTTCCCCAGGAGCTGCACACATACATATGGCCAAGAACTTGGAATAGCTAAAGACTGTCCAGGGGGATTTGGAGGAGTTGGTTTGGTTGAGATGCAAACCAGCAATTATGGGTACAAACAGCGTGGTCTCTTCACTGACTTGCAGAGCTCGATGGTTAAGCTTTGTTCTGCCTTCCAAATGCTTCTCAAACTTCTCCTATGGCCAATATACCCTAAAATCATACAGCAGAGGGAATTCTAGGAATGTAAATCCAGTTTTACTAAAATGGTACCATGTAGGGCCACCACTTGGCTTACAATTTATTTCTTCTATGCAAGTAGGAATCCCAAGAAGACTTCACTGCGTCTTTGAAAATAATTGTTTAGACTCCAAATGGCAAATTTATTAACTTATTGGACAAGATCCTAGACAACGTTGCATGTGTTCTTTCTCCATCTTTCCTCCCCCACTCCTCTCTTTTTTCCTCCTCTTCCCTTTCTTTCTTCCTCCTCTTCCCTCTCTTTCTTCCTCCTCTTCCATCTCTTTCCTCCTCCTCTTCCCTCTCTTTCCCCCTCCTCTTCCATCTCTTTCCCACTCTTTCTCCCTCTCAGCACAAATCAGGTCCCTGGGAAACACTCATATGTCCAACAGGCTCTGGAAGGACTTGCCAACCAAGGTGGTCTCCCCTCCTTTACATCTACCTTCGGCCTTGGGTCATTGTACCCACTTTGCTTCAGGGAACAGATCTCAAACTCTCTGAAAGATCTCACTGAACTCTTGCTCTTTTGGCTTGAGGGGAAGGGCAGGCATCTCTGCTCCCGGGATTGGGATTGGAAACTGGGAGTCAGAGCACAGCCCAGCTGTCTGGAGAGAAACCCTCTTTCTCCAAATTCTCCTTCCTAAATAAATGCCCTCAGTAAGGGTGGGAGCTTTCAGAATCCTGTAACCAGCTTTGTAACATTTCCCATGTAAATGTACATCCTGTTCTAGCACTAATGTTTGAACTAGATAGTCTTTTATATCTTGGTGCTTCTGTGATGGCATCCAATTTAACTTTCCTTTTATAGGAAAAAAATTTATATCTCACAAAACAGTTTATAGTTCAGGTTTATATTTCCTTACCCTAGGACTACAATTTTACTTAAGTTTAGAGGCAGTATGGTGTAATGGCTTAAGGGCAGCCTACACTTTCCAGCAAGTATATTGAGTCTACTATCCATGATTTACATGTCAATCTTACAAGAGGCATGTTAATGATAATACTTTAAATATTAACTATCAATCCTCTTAGGACTCAAAACCATTGCATGTACCCACTTTATTGTTTTACACGTGAAGACAATAAGAGCCAAAATGTCCCTACGTTTTCCAGGGTCACATTGTTGGGAAAAAGGCATAGATATATCCTTTTCTATTACTTGATTTTTTTCCATTCCTTGCAATTTTTTATGAATGTTTATCTTCAAGCCTTCTTGTGCACTAATGTGTTGTCTAACATATTACATTATATGTTCTTATCCTTATCATTTTCTTTCTTTCATAAAACTATGAATACTTAGATATAAAGCATATATTTGAAGGAACATTTCAGATTGTATTTGACTTTCATAGAGGTACTAGATACTTCAGTAGAAGTCCTAGGTCTAAGAAGCACCAAGGTCGTTCTACTACAGTATACTCATATATTGTTCACAGATTGAAAAACGAATTATTTAAGTTAATTGATGCTTAACTTGATTTTGTCAGAAAAAAATAAACATATATATAGTATATATGCATATTCCTAAATTGGCATATTCAAACACATGCATGTATACACACTAATCCTGTTGAATAATGTCAGTGATTCATGGATTTCCTCAGTTTATCCATGAGCCACAGGGCTCATTCTAGATCATTGTTGAATTATCTTTCTTTTTTATTGCTTATAGTGACCATTTTCCTGCTTAATAGAGTGTGTCTCTGAAAGTTGATAGAATTAGTACAATTTTTGTTCAAGTTCGTTTGTTGGTCTGATTGGTAGTTGATCAAGCCTGTTGGAAAAGAAAGAAGCAGCTATTAATTTACATGAAGTTTAGAAACGTATCAGGTACTTAATTTATCTGTCCTTAATTTCCCATTTTCATAGATGATGGATATTCATCCTGATGTAAAGAAAACAAAGTTTTGAGTTTGAGGAGATTACTGCTTTTTATAATTATATTCTCAATAACTAATAAATTGACCTTAGTTTTGAGTTTTCACACTATTAACATTCATGCAAGATATAATTTAAAGCCTTCAGAAAAACATTCACAAAGATAACTTTTTTGAATATGTTTTTCAAATAGCAAACAAAGGAAAATGCTCTTGGGTTGAGAATATTTATGCTAGTTTTGCTCTAAAGCAAATGTTTAACTTTTGAAATAGAAATCTACAAA